CGGTACCGGTAAGAAAATTCGATAAGAAAAATCTGATACCGGTACCGGTTTTGGTAAAACCGGTCCAGTTGACCCGATCCTGTCCAATAGCCAGCCTTACTAGCCACAAGAGGGAGGAGGAAGATCGTCGACCCTGCATTAGTTAAATAATGTAGACACAATTATGCATTAGTACATGGAATGTACTAAGTATGAGGGATATGCAATAAAACATGAAACATGATCACCAGAGGACACAATCAAAAACATGATATGCATGACCAAGCTAAATATAATAAAATCTTTTAAAAGAAGAATCGTAAATCATGAACATGATCAATACATCTTAAAATCATAAGAAATGCTTCATAAATTCTTTAAGAACAACTAGTTCATTTTGTGGAATATTAGCTTTAACAGACAAATGGATCGTGCAAGCTATAATATGAAATCTGATGTAACTCCCACATCAAGAAGGGAGAGTCTACTTGCCAGTGTAAAACTCATTATCATATCATATGCTATATGTGGACCCATTAGGTAGTTCATTTAAGACAATCCCACGGGGCAGATAGTTTGGAACTAGAGATTGCTACTAGAGACTATCCTATTTGAGCCTTCTCGTCAAAGTTCTCTCGATGCTAAGTTAAATCCCAATGGAATAGTCATATATATAAATATATCATTATACATGAAAAAACACAATTAAGTTATTAATCCAAGCTTAAAACGTCATAGAGTAGCTCCTCAAATTATGTGTAAAAAGACATTTCACTAATCATGTTTTCTTAATGTAAGAAAACATTTCACAATTAATTGATGCTCATCTTAGAGCAACCTAGAACATAAAACACTTTTTCATAAAATATGCATATTTTTTTATGAAAACTTAATCATAGATTCAAGCTTCTTTAAAAATTCATATCTTTTAGGGTTCATAGGGGAAAAAATCAAGAATAATGCATGAATTAATGTGAAATCAATTGGAAGCATGTAGTTGAGTTAAAATAATCATAATAAGATCCAAATTAAACAATTGAATGAACACAATTAGAACTCATGAAGAATTGAATAAAAACCTAAAAAATTTGATTGAAATTTGAATTGGAGAATTAAGAAATCTTGGGGCTCAATGGATGAATGAAACTCATTGTTGACACCCTACGTACCTTTCTAATCAAAGCCTAAAATCAATGGATGAATAAAAGGCTTGAAGCTTTGGAACCCTAGCCTTCTTCTTGACCTTGGTAGAGAATTAAATGGGATGAATGTGGATGAGATTTGGGGATTTAAGGAATGAGGGAGTTGGGGAAACTTAAAGGTTGGAAGGGTAGTTATAAGTCTTAAAATAAGGGTCAAAATGATAGAGTATATGCATTAAATGAATATGAAAAGACCCAAATACTCTTAAGAAATAATTGTTGGAGGATCCTGCGATTTGGACCTAGATCAAACTTTAGAAACTTAATTTTCCAAAATTCAACTCCAAGTTCTACCATTCACTTTCTATGGTCCGTAAGTTGGACTTGTAGAACCTGCCTTAGTGCCAAAATCATCATTTTTCTTTTTCTTTTAACTTTCAAATTATTGAGGTGTCACAATTGTTAGTTGTGGTTTTGGAATAGTGACCTAGATGACATTGTATTCCACTTGATAATTTTTTGAATCTTTCAGTATATTTTAGTTGGTTTTGTTTGGCTTTGACAGGGCTTAGTTTGACTTGAGTTGATTCTCTTGGTCAAGTGAGGCACCGGGTGCTAGTCGCGCCTCTCTGAAGTGGGGCCTAACAAGATTTCTCAATCTTGAAATAAATTTAGGAAATGATTAAACTAATTTCCCTTATGCCAATGTTGTAGGAGTTGGGACACCAATGCATAAAATATTCAAAGAGTTACCTTTGATTTTAACAAATAAGCATAAGTATGTCATAATCCACAAAGAAATTGAGAAAATTCAAATATGATGCATAACTAAAATATTAAGACCAACTCGAAATTAATAAATATTAAAAATCAAATCAATAATCTCTAAAATAAATAGAATAAAAATCGATACAAATTATGTAAAACTCAAAGATCATGTTTAGATGCCCATCAAGAAAGAATTAAAAAAAATTAAATTGAACTCGAAGATTTCATATAAAGTGGAGAATAGAAAAGATTCCACACAAAGTAGGAGGATGGCTTTTTTTTAAAAGAATTAAATCTAGAAGCATATTTAAGTAAAAAGAGCAAAATAACAATAACCGAAAAGAGAGAAGAATCAAGGATTTTGAATATGAAAAACATGTGATACATGTCTATAACATGTATCATTGAATTAAATAAAACATTATAACATGTGATACATGTCTAATACATGTATCATAAACAGCGACTAAACAACATACACAAAGAATCTATATGTATCATCAACTATATCTGATGAAGCATTTATTAAACTTAATGAATAATACATTATAA